GTCTTCCGCTTCACTGGCAACGTCAGAAATTGTTGACCTGAGTCCCCTACAGCTCAACATAACAGCATGGCTTTACTTCTTATACTTCGTTTTCATACTTTTCTGCTGGATGGTTAAGACCAAGGTAAAACAGGAACTATCCAACAAGAGTTGTAGCTTTTGGGTCTGATAAGGTCAGGGAAATCCACTCAGGATTTATACTGAGATCCCGTACTTCAGATTGTAGGACCTTTGTCAGTGTCAGTCCTGTGGATGAGTCACGGTCATTGCTTGGCCAATGTGCACTCTGTGAAGGCCTGAGAGAAAGTTTTCTCTCCATGGGACTCTCCTTAGGCACACTCTACATCATTGATCACTTTCCTCTTTGGCCCCATAATCTCCTTGATCAGAAAATTTGGGACAAGACTGAGTTACGTGACATTACAGTACAAGTTCTCGTATGTCCTGAGTCTTAATTGACCTTGGAAGGCTAGGGCCAAAATGTTGGCTTTCTTTGCAAGCCTCCTTTTTCTCTAATTTTGGTCTGCAAACTTAGGTTGTTAACCATCCAGAAGAGAAGTTTATTGTTATTACCATACAATGTAGGCTTTTAAGCTTAACCTATCTATCTGAATATCAAACATCTTAGGCATAACATGGAACAGGTGTTTTTCATCAAGTACTGATATGCTGAACTTTAAGTCCCTACAGAATAAGATGAAAAAACATTTAAAAATTGGAATATATTTTAAAAATAGGCATAAAGAATTATATAATTCTTATGTTTACACATAAGTCCACAAAACTAACCATATACAACCTTGAAGCAGGATAGTCCCACAACATTCCTTTTCCTGTCTCCTGCCTTCATTCACAACACCCTTCTTTTTGAGCAATCATTACCCGAGAGACACCACAGCAGCAACTGGCATGTCATGACAAGCAGCCCATATTCAGAAGACGAGAATGACAGGGACTCCAAGCATGAGCCTACTATTACAAATTGCCATCTTCAGTACACTTGCCAGTATAGATAGTCATGGTGAGAATCTTTCCAATTAACTGCTAGATTCAAAAATCTTCTGGAGATTCTCAGGATCATTGACTTACCCATCTTCTACATATAACTGTAAGGCTTGTCATTGTCATGTTTCCTAGCTCTTCTCCTTTCTCTCTCTTAATTAGTTAGTCCTCAAGTTCTTGCTTTCCTTTTACTTGTATTATACCTTTCTATGTATATTTCTTCTTTTAAGTTCATATACTAGGGAAACTACATGATATTTACATATGTGTGCCTGGTTTATTTCATTTATGAGTATATGTTCAAGTGGCATCCACTTCAATATAAAGGCTTCGAGTTTATCGTTCTTTATAGCTGAGTAATACTACATTGTGTAAAAAACCACATCTTTTTCATCCATTCCTCAGGTGATGGGCATCTTGGTTGTTTCCAAGATTTGGCTATCACAAATTGTGCTGC